ATAAGTTTACCATTTTCATTTTGATTAGGTTGGTGACTTGAATTTGAAGACCAATAGCTTTCATGTGTGATTTCTAGAGCACTATTGGTATCAAAAACCTAAAAATCATTTATGTCCTAAATTGAAATTCTCCAATTTGAAACAATTGCCGAAAGAGAGAGATTTACTAGTATTTAATTGAAAAAGCCAACTACTAGGCAGTATGTAGCCATGTCATGAAAATATTGTAATAGAATACATAGATTATCTAGTAACAGGAATAAGGAATAAAAATAAGTGGTGTCAAGAAATGGTGTTAAGCAATGGATCATTACTACTACATCGGCGTGACCAACTTTGGATTTGAAAAAAGTCATGCACATGACACTAACAAAACCAAAGGCATAAATTAGCATTTGGTCATTTATAAAATCAAGAGGAACTACAATTGACTTATTTGTTTGTCATTTTGCACATGTGGTCATGATATGAAAATGAAACCTTAATATTTTCTTTTTTTTTTAAGAAGCATAAAGTTGGATTTCCACAATCTTTTAAAACAGTTGAGAATAGATGCAAATGTAAAAAGGTTTTGGCTCTTGTGCTTACTTTTCAATTTTATTAGTTTAGAAAAATATTAATTATATCAAAATCAATGACTAACAAATATGATACTTGTGCTTTTTTCATTATAGTAACAAATATGGTACAAGTATAAAAGCTTAGTCATTGATAACCAATGACTAAAAAAATCAAATTAAAGTCGTATTCGATACCAATATAAAGTTGTCAATGATACTTGTGTTTGGAAAGAAAAATATGAAAGCTTCTCTCTATTTTATTTTCCAACTATTGGTAAAGACTTGTGTTGTTTATGTCTAAAAATGAGCCAACCACTTTGCAATATCAACATACGTTGTAAAATGTAAGAATAATTTTTCTTGTTTTTATTAGCATTCATTTTCTGCCTGCCTCTCAATTCGGTCTATTTAGCATTTTTTTTAAAAGGTTTTAGGTATTATTTACTAAACCTTCCACTTATGTTAACAAAGATATAAGCTCTAAACAATTAAAGAAAACAAATTTGATTTTAATAATAGCCAATTGCTAGGGGATATTCTTAACTCCAATTCAATGATTCATTAAGCACAAATATCATTTGGTGATTAAAAAAGGTAATTAAAGAAAATATTTCCAAAGATAAAAGAAGATCCCGTAAAGATCAGAATATTATGCTGTCACAAAATAAATCACTTGTAAAATGGAACACTAAAATATAAAATAAACATAGTTAAAACTCTTACAAGTTAATAGTCAGCTACAACCTTTCTCTATACAGTTTAGGCAGTGTTGCACCCTGTAATAATCCCATGGGAGAAACCATCAACATAAACAAAAAAGCGTCTCCACAAAGTAAATTTAGAATGTGGAAGAAAAACAATAAGGCAAACTTGTTACCATCACAAGCTAAGTTTTGGTTGAATAAGCAAGAGAAAAAGGCAGAGGATAGAAGGAAATGAGTTTAAAACAAAAACAAGAAAGTTGCAGGGATGTGAAATAGGATTACTGATTTAGGGTTTTTTGAGTTTGGGTTTTTAGGAAACAGGGAAGAGAAACCGTTGGAAAGGGAGACTAGCAGTTAATTAAAGCTATGAGAGATAGAGAGAGTGGTAGAAATGTGAGTGAGATGAGAGAGAAAGGGTAAGCGAGCTGGGGTGAGACAGTGGGAATTTTTTTTAATTGTTGTAAATAACTTTTTTTTTTCCTTTAATTTAGTGTTTAATTTTATTAAAAAGGGAAATATGAGAAATTATAGTTTTTGAGAATTTTTATTAGAAGCCCATATTATGAAAAAGATTGGGCAAGTCTTAAATTGAAAAAGAAATTAGGAATATTTTTTAAGCTTATACTAACAGTTATAAATGTACTATCAAATATAACATACTTCTATTGATGAATGTTTATATATCATCGGAAAAAATTTACTTATTCCAACGGTTGTACAAAGTTTTGGCATAAATATTATATATTTTGACGGTATTAAAAATTCACCAGTATAAATCTTTTATAGTAACACAATTTAACAATCAATATAGTCAAGAGTCAATATATCAAAAAAAATTTTATAATGTATACTGGCAGTTAAATATAACCATCAATATATCATATAGTTATACTAACAATCAATTATTTCTGTTGGCATAAGTATCATTTATTTATGGATATTTTTACTAGTTAGCACTTACACAAATAGTTAAATATAATCTGTCAATATATAACGACGTATACTAGTGGTTATTTATATATTGTCAAAAAATAATCAATATATACTGACAAAAAAAATATTGGTATAAATATTATATATATTGACAATAACAAAAATCCATTAATATAGATACTTTTTACGTACTTAATTTGATCATCAATATAATTAAGTGTCAGTATATGAAAAAATTTTGTAATAGCCCTAAATTGCTCTAAAATGTTAATAAGTATGAATTGTGCTATTTAAAAAAATATAGATGATACAATTCACATCATTAGATATTGACGATGTAACATGTAAATTATATATAATATTATGTTACAATATATAAAAAAATTTGATAAAATTTACTTATATGGATGTTTAAGTGAATGGTTTCTCTTTTAGACATGTAAGAAAATTTTTAAAATTTCTCTTTATAATAATATGTAAAATATTTTCTAATTTTCAGTTATTTATAAAAATATATATATTTAAAAATTATTTAATTATCCAAAACTTTCAAATTTAAATGAAAAACCAATTCAATTATTTCTAAGTGGTTAGCAACAAATTCTAATTTGAATATAGTTTTTTTCAAAATGTATTTCTAAGTAATCTAAATATATATCTTTTTTAGTTTAAAATTTTCAAATTTAGTGATATATTATCTTTAAAATAGGTTTCCTAATAATATAAATATATATCTTTTTAAATCTAAAAATCTCAAATGTGGTAATATTATAAAATGAATTTCTTAATAATTTAAATTTATGTCATTTGAAATTTGAAATTTTAAAATATAATTTTTATTTTTAGAGATTTCATAATAATCTTTTATTATGTGATTTTTTAAAATTAAAAAACCAAATGTCACATATATTATACCATAATTTATTTTTTAATGATACTTTCAATATTAATTCTATTTTTTTGTTTTTTTTTTTCAACTTTTATGCTTGCAAAGAAATTGTTTTTTAACTCGTGATATGCACAAAATTTTTTATTATATTTTTATAACTTTTTGATTTATGAAATTTACAAATTTTTATTATATTTTTATAATCTTGAATCCAATGTTAAAAAGTTAAAATCAATGCTTTTTTTAATTTTTATGTAAATTTTGGATATTTTATCTATTACAGAATGAATGTATGGATTTTATAAAATTTTTTGACAATTCATAAACGTTGGAGGGGAAGAAAAAAATCGGTCTAATACAGTAATAACTCTTTTGAATTATTTTAACAATAGAAAGTGTAAAATATTGATTTAATTGTTTAAGAATTATTTGTTGATTATATTTATTTATTTAAAAAAATTATAAAGGCTTAATTTTAATTAGTGATTTTGTTGCACTTATTTATTTATTTTTTAAAAAAATATAAATAAAGGTAAATGACTAAAATGAAATACTAATTCTAATATAATTGTTTTATATAAAAGTAAAATCATATTTATTTATCAAAAATTAAGTTTTATAATTTGATTCTTTTATTGTATTATTGGTTTTTTTTTTTTTTGAAGCTAAATATAAGTAGTATAAAATCTTGTGAATGAGAAATAGCAAATTTTCATTAAAATCTTTGTACAACAAAATTTTAAAATAATTATTTAAAATTAAATACTTTTATTTAAAATATAAAATAATTTTATTTTAGCTTTTACAGTAACATAATTTTATTTTAAATGTAAAATTTAAAACAAGTATAAAAATTAATTTGATAAATTTAATAAATATTGAAAATTAAGATATTATTAAAACTCATATAAAAAATATATACAATAAGCTATCATATATTATTTAAATATTTAAAATTATTTTTTTAATAAATAAAATTTATCTTAAAATTATTATGCATAAATGTATAAAAATAATCATACGAGATAAAAATAGCATAAATTGAAAAATTATAATTTGAAATAATAAAGTTTTTAATTTTTAATTTGATATTTTGTTTTAGTATTCAATAATATTATTTAAATATAAATTTTATGAATATTTTATTTTTCTTAAATATTATTATATGTTTTAAATTTTTTTAAATTTTAATTAAAAATAAAATATTTTTAAATATTTTATTTTTTCGAATATTATTTATATTTTAAAATTTTTTAATTAAAAATTTTGACGCCCTGGATTAGGTAAGCAAAATCTGACAGGCAAGTGGAAAGTGTCCCCACAAGGATTTCATAGAGAGATCAAATTAAAACAGCAAAATAAGGGGATTTTCCCAAGAAAAAAAAATTCAAGAGGCCAGAGCCTAACCAGAGAACTGTGCTTTACTGTTACAACAAAAGTAAGCCACGGGCTGAGAGAAAGAGCTAGTGCTGGTTCCATGTTTTTTGACGGCACGCCCAACAGAAAAGGCGATAATATCAACTTGCCCAATTCCCATTATCACATTTCCAACCACTAACCAAACCTAGAGCCGTAGACCTAATAGACCTAGACATCCGATTAATTTATTGATTCAACACTGACTTGTCACTTTATCAGCCTTTCCTTTCTTCACACATATCTTTCTCCATCCAACAAAACAGATACCAACGACCGAACAAATAAACAAATGCCATGATAATCCCATCACATCACATCTCCATCCTCGTCTATCTTCGCTTTATATTTTTCTCATTCACGCAACCTCAAATACGCAGCTTGTATTTGAAAGCTGAATTTTGTGAATGGAAGGCCAAGTGCTCCTCGTACTCTCTAACCCACGTTTCTTTTAATAAATAGATATAGATGTTGAAAATAAACCCACTAACTAAAGAATTTATGAAAATGAAACTTCTCATAGGATGGATTAATCCTCGTTTTCCCAGATTACAATTACAATCAGAATAATCAAACAGATAAATATTACAAAAAAGTCTCTCGAACAATTATCCTTTTCAACCAAATACAGAAAGAGCCCTAACTTTCCTTTATTTTATTTTTCAAAATTAACACCCAATCCTCAGAGCTGGGTCTCATCGGTCTTCACCTTTGGCTACAATGTACATATTCTTCTGAGAGTGCAGGGAAATCCAACTCATCAATGAACACCCGTCGTTAACCGGTGTATACAAAATTCAACACTAGCACACTACTGTTTGTAATTTAACTCATCTCCATCTCCTCTTTGGCTTTTCCCATATCAAAATTTTCTTAAAGAAATGGATCGACTTTTTTTTTTTTTTTTTTTTGCTTATTTTTCCAAATTGAGGATTTGGATTATTTTAAGCCACAGCAGAGATGCTGCAATTGCGACGATCTCTGTTGAGGCAATCGAAACCCTCAATTCGGACAGCAGCTGGCTTATGCCCAAATTTCATCCTCACGCATCCACTAGCTGCTGTACGTGAGGATGGTGATGGGGATAATATTGTAGGTAGCTGCTTCTTCTTGTTGAATTTGTCATCTTCGATGACGGGATTTGAAGCTCTGCTTGGTGGTGATCCACAGAAAAATGGTGGCGATGATGCCACCTGGTTGTTGGATTTCTCACCCCCATAGCCTCCCTGTAATTAAATGAAGCAAAACCATTTAAATTCAAATTAATCTTCCATTAAAACATACTTAACTTGAAAAAGGAAAAAAAAATATAACACTTCGATTATAAAAACTAAAGGAGAAATAACGGAATACAATTAAATAAATGAAACCATAGTCCAAAAAAAACTTTTTTAAATCTTATTTTCTGGAAAAAAAATACTAAAAAAAATTTAAGTATTTCACTTTTCTTATTTAGATCTTAACCATAGTCCAAAAAAAACTTTTTTAAATCTTATTTTCTGGACTAAAATACTAAAAAAAATTTAAGTATTTCACTTTTCTTATTTAGATCTTTATATTTTTATTTTATGCAAATAAAATCTAATCTTTTAATTTAATTTGTATATGAATAAATTTTCTTTCACAAAAAATTAATTAATGTTAAAATTTTATTTAAATATATATAAAAAATTTATTTAATATAAATTAAAAATAAAAAACTATTTAAATACAAATTAAAAATTATAATTTTATTTAAACATAATAAAAATATAAAAATTTATATAAATAAAATGACAAATTTATATTTTTATTATTTTAACTTTTTTTTCTAGCAAATGAAACATAAATAAAGTTTTTAAGATGTACTCTTTGTACTACCAATACTGCTCAATTTTTTAAAAATTCTTTCTTGACGGTAAAAATTTAGAAGTTATGATAACCAAATAACAATGCATTAAAAACTCTCAAAATACAAAGACGGTAACCCACCAAAAAACAAATCAAAGGCCATAAACTTTTTTAAAAAGAAAACAAAATTTTGTAGAAAATTAAATTTACCTTGTTGAGGATTAAATCAAGAAGCTCTGTACGGGCTTGTGAATCTGCTATCTCAGTCTGACAACAGCTACAGAATTTTGTCCCAAAAAATAATAACATTTATACTCCAAAAAATTAAAAATGAAAAAGAAAAAAAAAATTGTAAGTAACTTACTTGGTAGACCAGCTAAAGATTCGGATATGATCCTGAGCTGAAGAATTGAAAAGGGCTATCCGACGAGGCTTAGGGCAAACAACTGAATCAAACAATCTCTCTTCAAACCTTCCCATGCCGTTGGTGTTCATTTCTATCATTTTATTTTTTATTTTTTGACAAATCAAAGATCTGAACGCCAACGGGTCTGTTCAGAACAAACATAAAATGAGATCTAACTAAAGCAAAACAAAAAAGAAAAGAGATCTGGGTTTTTCAAACAAACCTGAGCTGGATTTAAAGGAAGAAAGACTCGTTTTGGAATTAAGAAAAAAAAAGAGTCAATATTGGTTGAGATTTTGGAAGAAGGAAGGAAAAGGAAGGGGCTTAGAGTGAGTATTCATATAAGAAAGAAAAAAAAAGTGAGGGAGGACGGGGTGATAAGGTGCGGACAAGCGAGAAGATGTGATGTAAGATCTCTAGGTATTGACCGTCAGATTCTTTATGAAGAATACCTACCATGATTGATGATTATTTAGTACTTGGAGCAAAAGTTTTCGGAGACTTAAACCCAAAAACTTTGATATTATGTTAAATTAGATGATTAATTGTCCTAAAAACTTAATTAATTAGAGATAATTAACTCAACCATTATATTCACAAGTTATAACATCAAACGTTATTCCATTTACAATGTCAAACGAACTGCGTTATTTATTTTAATTCATTTCTCTCCTGAAAGGTATAAAATTATCCAAACAAACAATGAAACAATTTTGCTTAATTTAAACACATAGAGATAGTCTCCACTCTCAAGAAGGAAGGAGTAATAAGAAGGCACGGTCTCTCGTAATTATATATCAAAGATGGCAAAATATGATAAGACGGCAAAGGATTAAAATATTAATTCTTATTAATCCAAATACTAAATGGGTTTGTTATACTTAAAGCTTCCAATTGCTAAAAACAATCAAAATTGACTAAAAAAAAATCTACCAACCAATAGTGGTCTATATGTAGCCTTACTTACCAACCGTTAACATTGTCCAATATTGAATGGTCAGAGCATTAAAATATGAGAAATTATTTAATATATTTTTAGTAGAGTTTTTTAATTTTATAATTAAAATTAATAAGGTGATACATATTTTATTTTTAATTAATTTTTTATTATGTTAAATATACAATAAGGTATTGCGCCATTAAATCCACTTGTAAAGCTAAAAAATTTTATTTTCAATTTATTATCGTATATGATATTATTTTCAAAATCAGTATAATAATATAATTATCAAGATTATTAATTTTTTAGGTGAGATGGTGATCCAATAGGAGGTGAATTAGATTTCTTCAAATTCTTCTCAAACAATAATTTCAAAATAATTGAATAAAAAATTGAAATCAATATCAAATTATGATGCAAATGACAACAATTGATATATCTAAAAGTATATGTGATCAATAATGAAAATAAAGAGATAGTGATAGAGAAATCAAATACAAAGATTTATAAAGGTTCGATCTTTTTTCACAAGGCATCTACTTGGTTATCCACACCAAGACTTTAATCCACTAATCTTGAATTGAAAATACACACATATCTTTTTTTCTTTAAGGCTTAAGATAGAAATCTTACACTCTATATTCTAGGTTAAGTAGCAACATTTCAATCCCACAAATTCAATAGGATACCTTATCTCTTGATTACGAAATCACTTAATAAAAATGCAAACTTAAAACAAGCTAAGTATTTGTTTAATGAAGTACAAAAAAATTTGATAAATGAAACAACACAATAGAGCTTGTATACAACAAATACAAAATATATGAATTTTAAGCTCTAACAACTCTTGATTCTTTGAGAAAATGAAAATATAACTTATTGGCTATTGCTCTCTTGATTCATCAATCTTCTTAGTGTGTTGAAGTTGCCATTATATAGAGAAATTGAAGAACTAGTTATTGGAGATGGTGTAGAAGAAAAAATGCCAGTTGGAAGCATGAAAAACTAGCCATTTGAGTGTTCTGGGAAGACCCAATCGATCTCTTCCCTAGGGGGATCGATTGTTCAAGTTTTAGAAGCCATTTCACTCCTGGTAAATGCATAACCCAATTAATCCCTTCCCTGAGGAGATCAATCCTGTCAAGGAGGTGATCGATCCCCTACATAGGGTGATTGATCCCTTTTTGAACTTGGAGCAAAAAGATGCATTCTAGGTAAAAAATCAATCGATCATTTCTTGAGAGGATCGATTCTATCAAAGCTAGATGATTGTCTCTTGTTTTATACTCTACTTACTAAGTTGATCATATCTTAAGTCATACAATTTCAAATCAAAAACTGTTTGAAGATTTAAAAACTAGACTTAAAGGGCTTTCTATTCATATAAAATTTATTACCTAATTCATTGTATACGAATTTTAATGGATTTTCAAAACTATCACTTGTTCAGTTTTTAGACAATTGTAAAATGTCTAGTAAAAATTTAAAATCTTTTCTTAAAAAATTTAGATTTTGATTTGTTTAATCCATTAGAAAGTATACTCAAAGAGTTTTCTAACCATATAAAATTCAAATATTGTGAATTAATACAAAAAAATAAAATAATTTCAACGTTAGAAAACTTTGTTATTGTAAAACAACTTTCTTAAGTTAATATATTTCTCAAAACCAATATTATTAAAATTGTATTAAGTCCAAAATGAATAAGTTCACTTTAAAAACAACAATTGAACTTTCATTTAAACTCAAATAAACAATCTTTAAAGATAGATTTAGTTTGAGAAATATGAAAACAAAGAAATGTTTGTTTACACTATGAAAAATCTATTATTTATTTAGTACTAAGCATATACTAAATAAATATTTTTCAAAATCTTGATCAAGCTAATTTAGCTTAATGTTTTGTTATTTCAAAATACAAATCAATTCAAAGCTAACAATCTCCCCATTTTTTATATAACAAAACTTAAAGATAAATTTGCTTGATGAAAATCTTTCTTTGAAACATTTAAGATTTTAAAAAACATTTTGAAAAACTCTCCCTTAAATAATGTATGGCAAAACTCCCTTTCAATTTAGGTATCATAATCTAACACAACTCAATCAACATATGTTAGAGTATAAATAACAATTAAGTAGATATAAACATATGTATATCAAGCACATGCAAATTTGTTCACCAAATATTTCTCTCCCCTTTTGTCGTGGCAACAAGGCATGAGTAAATAAAAAAGGTATGAGTAAATAAAAAAGGCATGAGTAAATAAACATAAAAAGGTATTGGTAAATATATTCATAAAACATTTCTCCTTCTTTTTATTATGCTCTTTATACCAAATGTTTAAGTTCCTATATCAATTGCTATAAGCATAAAAGAAGAAATATCTCTAAACTTTTCTCCTTTTGTCATTAAAAAAAAAAGAGATCTCAATTCAAGGCATGGGACAAAATGCTTAATACCAATAATATCAAAAGTATTTTGAAAGCATGTAATCAAGTGTAATATGCACAATAAAGTTCACATTTATGTATTCAAGCATAAAAGCTTAAGTGTATCCAATTAAAATGTTATAGCACAAAATCATTCATTCAACCTAACCACATGAAATTTATGAACAAAATGATAATAAATGATATACAACCTACTTATAAATCATATTATCATAAAATGTACTTAAAACCTAGAATGTCAATAGCAATTAAGTATACATTCAAGCACATACATGTAAGCTCATACCAATTGTTAAGGATATGTTATCACAAAGTATACCAATTGTTATCATAAAATAAATCAAGCAAAATTGTATTCTAAAATTGCTTCTCATTTCAAAATAAGGATTAATAAATTTAAGACATACATAATTTTGAATGAAAGGTATTAGCTATATCAAGGATAGGCACATAAATAAGCATCTATGAAAGTTTTAAAATCTTTAGCAATTTTGATACCAATTGTTAGCAATTTTATTCAACAACTTTCATAGAGCACATATTTCAAACATATAAAAGATTTATTCAATATATGCATAAATAGTAATAGTAATATTTCATAAGCTATCTTATCCAAACAAGAACCAAAAGCTCATATATATAATAAATCATAGGTATTAATGAGCAATGAGATTCAATCATCATGTCCTAACAAAGATTATATAAGCATGATTTTTCAAACATGATGAGCACATATGCTATAGTAAAGAAATATGAAAGCATAATTATTCAATTATAATTCAAATTATTTCAATGCAAAGAAATATTCTTAATCCAAACATATACAAGTACATAAATATAGTTCAAACATATTTTTCAATCAAAATCATACAAGCATATGCAAAAAATTTCAAATCACATATAACAATATACCAATAAAGATATAAACATTTAGACATAATGTGATACATGTTATCTCAATGATCTCAATCAATGAACATGTATAGAAATTTTAAATTTATAATTCATAATTTATGAGTCAAATCAATTTAAAGATTAGGAAATCAACATAGCCAACTCATAGCTATGTTCAAAGATTCATCTTAAACAAATATTCATACAAAAAAATTTATTAATCACATCAAGGCAATTAAGAACTAGGCGTAAATATTAACTAATCCAGGTATTTAACAAAGTTAAGATAAATTTTATCAAGTAGCATGGTGATTAATTTGTACAAAGTGTTCATAAATTCAAATAAAATATCTCATTCTTACATATATAAAAGCAAGCATTTATCAAATCATGCATTAAACATTATAAATCATAGGCACATAGCATAGATTCAATGAAATTACCTCCATCCTTATTAAGCTATGCTGTTATGCTCATTGTAGTTGAATAAGGCTTTGAATCCTCCATTCCACATCACTTGAGCTAAATCTTTAATGTATTTGGTCTTGATTGATGAAGATGACTTGCTTTGCTTGTTTCACTTAAAATCTCAAAAATGTTAGTTTATTCATACTCATTTCAAGTTCTCTTAACAAAGAATTAGAAAAATTTCTTAACAAAGGATTTTCATTAAAAGCATCAAGAAAATCAATTGATAAAAATTATACAAATTGTTAGAAAATAATTCCATATTCTAAGTCATTATAGGCAAAAGAAAACTTATTCACTAAGTACAAGTCGCTAATTGCAAGGGAGATATAAACTTAAGCTAGAGGACATATATCAATTTAAACATCAAATAGCACAAGAATGACACTAAAGTAAAAGTTCTCATATAATGTGCAAAAATCAAACTTTTTAGATCATTCATGAAAACAAAATAGATATATTCAATATTAATGTATATTCAAAAAATCACCAATAAATATGTCAAAATAAATTTTAGGTCATATAAAAACTAAACACTCAAGGAAGATATATTTATCATCAAAAATATATTCAAAAAAATTTTAGCACAAAAGGATAAATATGTCTACATAAATTATAGGCCATAATCAATAATAAATTAAGCTAAAAGTAAGCATCTTAAAAAAATAATTTACTTAGTTATATTGCAACATGTCATGTAAAAAAAAATCATATTTATCATATATGCACACACTTGACAAGAACAATAGATAAACTAACAACATATTTCATTTACAAACAAGTAGTTCATCATATTCAAAATCATAAATCAAGAGATATATCAATTGAGCACAAATATCCAAAATATTTCACAAAATTAATAAAACATTTAAGCA